TAAACGCTTTGCCACTCCGAGAAGGATCAAATTTTCTTAAAATCATTAAAACTGGAAGCTTTCTGATTAGATGACCTGCATAAATAATCAATAACCATTTTAGCCGTTGCCATCACCAAAAGATGAAGCCTTAGCGAGAACTATTGAGAGAACTATTGAGAATCATACCGCACTGTAGGTTGTTTCCTGCACATTTTCATTATCAAAGGTTAAAATATGAATTTTTCTATGCAGGGTAATCTTCAAGTTCAAAATCGTTGAAAGCATTGGAAACGATTATGTCAATGCAATGAGAATGCTGCCAAGTCTTGGCGTGCCCCGAGTGATGGCACCCATCATAGCTCCTTTGGTTTCTTATATGATGAAAAGTAAGGTGAGAATTTTAGCTATCAAAGGACAACTACAGTAACCAGAAAATGGATGGTGTCGGAATTGAATTGACTGCTTCAGATATCTAAGCGGGTCGAGACGAGCCTTGGTAATTTCTCAGACGAAGACTTCAAACAATTGTTACACAAGGACTTGGATGCTTACCGGGACCTCCTCGCCGGCAAGAAATTCTTTTTCGGCGACGAAATTAGCTCGGTCAGTAGTTTTCCATGTACCCATCTTGAATATCCGTTCAAAATTTATCCGTGTAGTATAGAAAGCAGCCCTACCACTACCACCTATTCAAACTTACCTCAACATTTTGACTTTCTTTTGGCACAGCTGCCGAAAAAGGAAATGTACCTCGTCGTTTTCTGAGGTGGTGTGGGCCAATAAGTCTGGATTCGAACTGCGAATGTGTCTCAGGAATAGGAGCATGATTCATGGGTGAAACCACACTGATGTACAGAAAGGATGACACTTCAAAATGAATGTATAATGAAGAATGAAATACAGAATGAGTAGGTGACACAAGTCATAGTGAAGAATTTCAAAGCTGCAAGGTAGAGGGACTAGTCCAGTGCTGCCTCAGTTTCCTGTCGCGAGTCACCGAACAGGGGCGGCAGACTGGGCGGATCTGATACAATTATTCATGCCTCAAGAGTTCCCAACGTGAACGGGATATAGGACTTGTACTCGTGCCCATACCCTCGTACGGGTGCGACCACAAACCGATAGTGTTTGCATCTGAGCATTCCTTGCTGCACAGTCCTTTTACAGCCCAGCTCTACACAGTCCTTTTAGCTGATGTAACCACAAATGTGCTTAATATTTCAGGCTGACTGCACGCTATTCTCACAACTTGCTACGACTATTTACATTCCTGTCGAGAGTTATGCCAGGGACGTGATCCAAGACGAGTACCCAGAACTCGTCACCTTTTGCGACAACGTTCGGGACAAGGTCTTCGGAAAGGAGTTCATTCCGGAGTGATAGCGCCATCCGTTCGTTATTCGGATGTGTTCCTTCTAAAAGAGAATCGAATCTAATAATCCATGTAATGTCTCTTATATCATTGTAGAAATAGCCACTGCTGGTAAGAATTCTTTGATACTTGTACACTTCGATACTCTCGACTGCCTTAAATAAACTTTCCTGCCTTCAATAAAGGTTTTACTCATAAAGCATTACCACTCGGCAGATGGAAACGAACTTGCCGTTATGGCGATAAGCGATGAAACGGAAACCTTAGCAGAACTCCCTTCAAAGCTAGCCTGTGGACATTCGAGGTTCACTTCTAACGAAGCTAGAAGAATTATGTATTTTATGGAGCCCTTCAGATAATTTTTAACCAAAGGCGGTAGGTTCGGCGAGAGAATCCGGGGCCGCGGAAGCACACGGTCTGCGCGTGGCACGCGCCCGCGTCCGTTTCCTTCCCCGAGGGCAGAGGGTGCCGACAGTCCCCTAGTGTCGCAGAGCTTGCCCGTAGATTTCTATCTCCCGTTTACTTGTTTATGAAGATAAATCTAACTACCTTTATGTTTTGATCTTTTGGCAATGGTTTAACTGGGTGGCAAGGTCCACCCATATCGCACACTGGTTGGTATCGTAGTTTTTGTAGTACAACACTTACTTAGATAATGGTATTCTTTAATAATATAACACGCTACATGCACAGTGACGTAGTGAGACTCGTATATTCGCTGGAGGGAGAAAGAGGACGCACGCAAAAACATCATTCGTTGTACCCTTATCCGCAGGGCTCTCGCATACATACACACACAGGGCTCTCGTCGGGGGGTACTCTAGAACGAACGTTACGTATGGCAGTAAGTTCTGAGCAGTAAGGATGTTCCTATCAATATATGAGAATGGTTAATGAGCTCTAGGACAGCTTCACAACCAGGATTTCGCCATTCTACAGGGAACTCATTATCATCGTGAAAAGAGGGCTAAGCAGGGCAATACCATCTCACCCATGTAAAGCCAACTTCATGTAGGTCAATAAACTTACTCTATCGAAAGATTTACTAGTATTCACCAAATCCAAACAAAAGAGTTGTCAGTTGTCCAGCTTGAATCCGGTAAAAAAAGTATTTTCGGTCTGTGCGTGTTTCTTTCCTTCATGCGGTTGAGAACAATTCGACAAGATGAGCGCGATGGCGCATTTGGACTCACTCCCTGAACCACATCTTGGTCCATGATGCCTACAGCTCTCCCTCGCCGGAACGGCGTTCTATTGCTGCTGTGCACCCGCCCGCTGCGCCCTCACTTCTGCAGCTGATAAACGGCTCACCCAGCCTTCACCCCCCATGGTTGACAAACTAATTGAAACGTGCCGTTCAAGGCTAAATTGTTGGCTGACTTCTCGTTGCCTGCGCTCTGACTCTGCAGGTGGCAGAGAGCAAGTTTGGGACAATCAAGGTGGTAGCAACCCAAAAGTTCCTAATGTTTCGAAGTTAACGGTCAGAATTAGTAGGGGGAATTCAAGAGGGCGAGGGTGGCCAAGGGGAGAAATACGCCAGCAAACTCCTTAGAAGAAAAAACAAACAACACTGCAACGCGCAGCAACTCAGCCCACATGACGAAACACACGATCGCCGAAACTGCGAGAGAGGCGGGGTGCCATAGCACAGATAACAACTGGGGCTGGGGTGCGCTTGTCCACCTGCTCGTACGTTGGCCTTTGAGCTCTAGTCGCCTTTCGGTTCAATCATTTGCCAGAATGGTTTGTTGGACATGTGTTGCTGTTTGGTTGGCTGTCGGCAGTGTTATTACGTATTTTTTCTTTTCAAAGAAGAACAAGAAACAGGTAACTATGTCCATTTTCGGAGTCTCAAAGAGAAGGGTCATGTGGAGGAAGCCCATTACAATTGCCATTCCCTCATAATTCGGTCGTAAAAGTAATGAGAAAGCCTTGAACCGATATGTTTCACGTCTGCTTCAATGAATTCTCTTTTGCTAGTGGTTTGGAAAGTGCATGCCAAACCTTTGGCAGAAGTCCGGATTTTTCTGAAGCGTTTTGGAAGTTTTCATGGGATTCAAGTTCTTCCCCTTGTATGCGCATAACACATCCCGCTCATGCTTTCTTCCTTAATTAATCATATAATGACTGAATTTCTACCCATATTCAACGCGTGCTTCTTAACGCTTTCGAATTTGGCTACTCCGGTGCTGAAGCTCATTGAGACGGGTATCAAACTTTCAACTCCGCAGCCCCTGGTAGCTGTGCTGTACACAGCCCTTCCCCTTCTATCGCTTCCCAAATGCCTAAAATAAAAAGGTCGAACAACAACTTCGATCTGGTCAAATGACTGCTATTCCATTTAATCTTCTGATATGTCATGCACTTGAGTTTGTCCTTTTACAGTATTCTCAAGGAAACTTCTAGAACATTCCAGAAAAACCATGGATAGAAAAGTTTCCGGCAGATCCGCATATCTTGATTTTTTTGTAGGAACTATAGGGATGTTGAGATCGTGGGCACGGATTTAGATCCTTACAATGATAAAATCCTAAAGTCCTACTTCCAGGTCCAAATACGGAAACATGACTGGAAGCCCGACATTGTCTATCTCTATCAATTTCCCAGAGCAAAGCCGGTGCCAAATCTATCGCCATATTGCTTAAAAGTGGAGACTTTTCTTAAAGCTAACAAAATTCCATACGAGGTGAGTGCGAAATACTTCAACCCATCATCGTTCAACTGTATTGTCATTGTCACTAAAGGTGTGCACCCTCTTGATGGGAAGATCAAAGTACGGCTTATTGCCGTTTATCGAGCTGAATGGCGAACATATCGCCGACTCACAGATTATTCTTCATCGGCTTAAGACACACTTCAAAGTCAAGGTACAGTTAGTCACATTATGTTTTAGTCAATCTTGGTGAAAATGTAGTTGGGGGGTGCCAGCGCCCTTTTGTGCTCTGCGTCCCTGACACTGGCGGCAGAGTGCACACAGATCGCAGAGATGGATTCCTCCCCTTCTAAAAGTTAGGGAAGGAGCTCCGGGGTGGGNAAAGTAAGGTGAGAATTTTAGCTATCAAAGGACAACTATTATACAATAACCAGAAAATGGATGGTGTCGGAATTGAATTGACTG